TCCACCAAGTAAACATGAGGCTCTTTTCAGGTTCCTCCTTCTCAGAATGCTAGAATTATTCTATAGAATAACCTATATTTGATACATTTAGTACATGTGAAATGAAATCAACCACAAGACTTTCACTACTTCCTTTCTGAATCTCTATGTCACTTCACGCCACAACACTCTTTGGAAGAAGTTGATTGTAAGAAAAATTCATTAAATAAATGGCTAATTCAAAATCTTGACACTGAAGACAACTGAGAATTCATTTTACAAAGGATCCTTCAAAACACAACCCCAAGATACATACGAACCAATCTTACACTGTGAAAGGAAAATTTCTTTTCCCTAGAACCAAAGTTTGTTTCACCTTCGTATGTCTGAGAAAATGAAAAAAGCCTCCTTATTAAGCACTAAAGATGCCTCTGTTCCCATTTAAGGTGCCTCCAGAGCACATCCTGTCCAAAAAATACATACGTCTACAATACGACCTTAGACCTACTCTGCCGTAAGACTTCTACTATACTTTGTTTTGACAGAAAGCAGTCAGGCCAGAGGGCGGAAAGGGAGGTCGGTGAAGGCATGGGCCTCTCTTCCCTCTGCTATAGCAAGACTGCCGATCCTTCCTCTCAGGGAAGAGCCAGGCTGCTTTCCATGAATGAAGCAACCAACACAGAGCGTAACCGGGCTCGACACGGAGGCCCCGGTTGGTGTAGACCAGATCTGCTGCCCAGTTCCTTCTGGAGCTGCTTCATAGCCTAGGTCTCTTCTGGCTTAAAACACTATCCTCCTCCCCCCGCCCTCCTCGAAGGAGCTTTATTAAACAAGGTGGGGGGTGCTGGAGAGAGAAGTCCATCCTATTTCTTCAGGCCTTACGGCCCCCTCTCCACCTCAGCAAATCTAATCTGTCTGATCGTCTAGGGCGGTTCCTCTGCCTGCACCATCTGATGGACTGAGGCAGAGAAACTCCTTCCAGAGCCAGCCTGCGGTGGTCCAGTGATGCATGATGCCCACACGGGCTGGTGTGCGCGGGGTTCCAGCTCCATCATCGACCCCTCAGGGCCTATCTCACACACACTGAGGTGGACACGCATCTGTGGACAGAAGGGATCAGAGATTTTCGCTCTAGAGCGAGCAGAGAGGCATTACGTGAGTGGCTGATCCCAGTTGAGACCCACTACAACCTACTGCTGGACGCCCACCCCAGGCCTCAGCATGTCGCTGTGCACCTGCTTCCTGCAGTGTCATCACACAGAGATGCATGAAGCTGGACAGCCGGCAACAGGGGGAGGCAGGTAAAGTGGCACAACACTCCAACCGGTATCCAAAAAACAGCAGAATGGAGAGCTGTTCTTTAAGAGAAGGGAGGGTCTGTAAATATTTTGGGCCCGAAGGAAAAGCAGCAAAGAGAGAGAATCTGGATATGGTAGGGAAAGAGGCCAGACCTGCAGGGCCAGGGCTGGCAGTGGGGCAGGAGGACTGCAGGCAGAGAGGACTGGGGAGAGGAGGGCACGGCCAGGTACAGGGCGGAGAGCTCAGGGCCCGCCCCCGGGAAAACTGAGGGGAAAAAAGAGCACATTTTTCACATTTCTTCGGCTACAGAGGAGAGGGGTCGGCAGAGAGGAGAGGCTGGGTGTCTGCACGGGGCTCCCCGGGGCCCAGCCATCACTCCAGCCTCACAGGCCAGGTGGCCGTACTGCCCAATGATCTGAACTGTTGACCCCCAAGCCTGCTGCCTCTAACGTCCTCTTCTTTCTGTGTCACCAAGCTGAATTCTACCAATCTGCGAGTGTTGGCTTACAGAGCAAGAACCACCAGGCCCTCTCTGACAGGGAGCCACGCCCCTTCAGGAGGTCTGGGCCTGGCCCCTAGTGCCTGGCAGAATGCCTAACACATGATGATGATGATGATGATGATAGGAAAACCAGGAGGAGGGAAACTGGGTGCAGATGTTTGCAAAGTGGCAAAAGGTGTTGGTATTTAAGGTTTTTTGTTTTCATGCTCAGTTCAGATTGTGCTTAAGGACGTTCAGTTTAAGGGAAAGAAGGTCAAGTCCCCTTAGGATCCCAGGGACAATGCGCAAACGCAGACGACGAGAAGGAAGCTGTGGAACTCTGCTGGGGAGAGGCGGGAGCAGACAAGCCCCTGACTTTCTCTGAGCCGAGGCCAAAAGCAGGCCTCCGCTCAGGGTGCCGCTGTACCCCGTGGCTTACCCTGGAAACTTAAAGGCAGACACGTTTCCTACAAAGAAAGTGTCTCATTCTTGCTGCCCCCTGAGCACTCGTGCTGACAGCTCTACTGGTCATGTCAGATCTGAGGAGGTAAGTTCCCCATCAAGACAGGGCAAGGTTAGCTACAGAAGGTATTTCCCTAATTTAGAACAGAACTCCCTGCACAGGAGTTGGAGGGAAGGGTGCTGGACGTACATGGGGACACTCCGTAGACCAGCACCTTCCCTCTCGAGCACGGTCAGGAAGGCTCCAGGAAGGGGCCAGGGCGGTCGAGCCCACGGTCACGGTCACGGGTGAACTTGCTACTCAGGGCAGGAGCCTCCTCTGGGGCTTGGCTGTTTGCTGTCCCGCCTCCTGGATCCTTTGGTGCCTAACATCTTCGCTCAAAGGATCCAAATTTCACATCCATCCCCAAACCACATGGCTACAGCAGTAGCTTATCTTATGGAAAAAATTAAGGGAAGATAAGAGCACATTTTCCACATTTCTTCTGCTCCCAGGGAAAGGCAAAATATTTTCCAGCCAGCATAAGTAGGGAGATCACAAAGAATGTAGCTAAGGAAAATCCAAAGGAAAAGCCACATCCAGGGGTGTGGCCAGGCTGCCTTTTCCAAAGCGGGAGAGTGGGGACTGCCATTTTGCATATGAAGGCTTGTAAAAAGGGTAACTTGTTAAAGGCATCTTCACTGAACAGGACTGAAGTCCAGGCTGTTCTCTTATCCCACGATTCCACCTCGCACACGTTCCCCGACTCACCCAGCGCACAACTGACCCCTCCGTCATAAAAAACCCACAGACACCAGCTGTGCTTTGCTTCTGCTCTTTCTGTGTTAGAAATGTTGAGACTATGTTGTTAGACGTACATCAATAGTCTTCCTTTTATAATTGAAGGTTTTCTTTATTTCTAACAATGTTTTTATGCTTTCAGGTCTATTTGCCTAATACCAACATCCCTGCACCAGTTTCCATTTGGTTAATATCTGCCTGGTGGACCTTTCTTCTAATGCTTTACATACTTTCCAACTTCCTGTGCATTGAGGTTTGAGGTGTGCCCTTGGAAAACAATACACAGCATGATTTTTCACGAACTATTCAATCAGAGAATCTTTCTCTTAGCAAGTATAATCTACTTTGCATTTACTGTAATTCCCACTCTTTGTGGACAAATTACTGCATCTCATTTTGTGATTTTCTAACATGATTTTTGTTCTTCTCCTTCCTTTTGCTTCCACTGGACCCGTTTTCATGAGTTTTTATCTATCTGGTTTTCTCTATTTCTTTTCCCTTTATACTCATGGGAAGGGGTGCTTTCTACTCCTGTATTTTTAGGAGTCTTTCAAAAACGCAAACATGTACAGCTGAATTTACAAATCTTAGATAAATGCGCCTCCTACCACTCTCCTTGGGACCCCTCTCTGTCCTCCGTGCTCAAGTGCTCTGCTGCTTGGCTCCTTCTTGTTTTAACTCTGCCCCCAAATCCATCGCCTTTTGTCTAACGGGTCAATCCTTTGATTCACAAACATATTTACCGAACTCTGTGCCCAGTCCTTTCTTCTTGTAGCTCCTTTTTTATTCACTTAAGTCATTCATTCAACAAATACTGCTGCACGCTTACCTGCACCAGGTAGCCTTGTTCTCAGCGCTAGAGACAGAGACAGAACCAAACAAAGTCCTTGTTTTCATGGTGCTGATGTTACAGTGGGTGCTTCCACTACCCTGACTAAACTGAACGCTCCAGCTCTTCGGCAAGTATCTGAGTGGTGAACTCTCAGTCTCAGTCTATGTATTTCATCCTGACTGTTGAGTGATTGTTCCGCTGGGTGTGGTTCAGAGGTACTTTCCGTCAGGACTGCACTCCACTGTCTTCCACAATCTGTGGTTCCTGGTGAGAAGTCAGCTGTCTTCCTCAAAGTCATTCTCGCAGGTGTGATTTTGTCGTTTCTTTCTTCTCGTTGTTAAGACTTTGCCTTTGGTGTTCCTCAGTTTTACCATAATATGTCTCAATTTGCATTCACCCTACAACTTCTTTTTAAAAGAACTTTTACCCTACCTCCTATAGCTTCCATATATATATATATATCTCATGTTATGGTCATTGCTCCCTCCTTCACTCATCTTTCTTTCAAAACACAAAAACACAAAACAAAATGAAAGGCACATTTGCCAAACAGCAGTGAGTTCTGGAAAGCCCTGGGCTGGGTACCTTGCATGATGCAACCACACACACATACTTTACTTCTCTCAAGCAGCCCTCACTGTGCCTATTTTTCAGATGAAAAAGTTAAACCGCAGGAAGGCTAAGAAACTTTTCCAAAGTCACACAGCTGGTTAGCATTGCAGACGACAATACTGGAACGCCACAAACCCCAGGCTCTGAATATACCACAACCCCCACCTCCCATTTCGAAGCACATCTTTTAAAACAGAAGTAACAAAGGGACAAGTCATGCTAGCCCATCGCTACAGAAATGCAAGAAGGACTGTTAATTTCTGACCACGAACTGGAATTTCACAAGCTAGTCAATAGACACTGGCACAATAAATATGGCAAAAACATCTAAGCCATTCTTCAGGTTCAAGAACATCACATTTCACAACAAGGTCAATGGACTAAACCATCTTTCTGCCCAGACACAACCGCACTCCGAAATTCAGGCATCACTTCTGAGTCACCTTCAGACACTGCCGGCTACGGCTAACTCATCTCAGACGGTGTCAAAACTGCAATTCAAAACTAACCATGTAGGTGTTTATGGGAAAAGACAGTACAAGCCATCGTTTTACCTGTGCTACTTCCTCGAAATCTTCATGACGTTTCTGCAAAGCTCGGGCCCGATGAAGAGACTTCCCCACACCTGTGTGTTTGCTCAGAAATGCTTCTCCGTGGTTCTCAATCCAGTCCAGTACCTACAAGGAAACACAGACACAGACGCCATAAAAACAATGGTCGCCTTGGGCTAACCGTGGAAGATGCATTCTGTTACCAAAGCTCTGTAAGAAACAAGAAGCAAAGGAGAAAACAAAATTGTGAGCAATGGGACACTAGTTTAACAGGTTAAGAATTAGATCTGCCAGCTTTCCCACCATGATTTTAATCAGCTCTTACTTAAACAGCGCAAATCTGTGTGCATATAAATGTTACATACAACGATGATTAAATTAAATCTCACTTCGTCTAACGCATGACTAAGCCACAACACGGCCTGGCTTTTGTATAAGACAGTAGTTATCAAGCCACAGAGGACCAATTTAACTTAACATTTTTATATGGTTCAAAGCTTCAGAACTCAGGCAGTTCAAGTTTAACTACAGAGTTAATGTTTTTCTGTCTCTTCTTTATAAGATTCAAAACATATAAGTAAAACCCAAGAAAACAAAACACTTAAATGCCTCTATGTCTTTAAGGATAATTTATTCTACAAACCAAGCTGTTGTGAAAGCTAAACATTCCATGAATTTAATTACTTACAAGTTCTTGTTAGTTGAAATCTACTAAAGAAAAAGAGTAAAAGTAAAGTAGGGTGACCTGATGTTTTTAAGTTCATTCTGGGACTAAGCAGTTCTTTGGCTATTTTACTTGAGAAATCGCAAAGCACTGACAACATCAAACAAAATATTTACACTACATCAAACATACATTTTGTCTCTTTCTGCTGGAGAGTGGGTAACAGCAAAAAACTAAGCCAGTGACATCTGTAGCTAAAACTTATACTAAAAGAAATTATTTAAGACCTATGTTAAGTATCTGAAGACATTCGTTAACATGCTGCAAAGTACTGTAGGCTGCCTCGCACTCTGTAATTAGTAACCACGGTAACTAAGCCTACAGAGCAAACCGATCCTGGACTAAAGAACCCACTGAGGCCTTACAGCTAGGACCGTGGTCTAGAGGGCAGCCTGGAAGTGGACCAGTCACAGCACTCCACTAACAGCAAAATTACAGAGGCCTCAGGGTGGGGGTGTAACTTACAGCGTGGTGAACATAGTTAGTAGTAACTTTGTATGGGGACAGATGGATACTAAATTTGTCATGGAGATCATTTCATAACATATGCAAATGTCAAATCACTATTTAGTACATCTGACAGTAACATAATATTGCCTGTCAACTATTTCAGTTAAAAAAAAAATAAACAAAAGGGGCCTTAATGTGAGGTTCATCGCTACAAAAAGGATCCTGTGCCCTTTGTTACCCGCACTGCAGAGAGATCAGCTGTGCTGACAGATATCCAGGGAAAAAAGAGGCAGCTGGTAGGACCAGAGCCTGCTGTCCACCTCAATTTGTCCCCCTCTGCTCCAAACAGAGGGTCCTTTTTCCACAGGGTTTAGCAAAGTTGGCAGCACATTTAAATAAAATGGCTTGCGAACCTGAATAAATCTCTGGGAATCCTCTGTAAAGACCCCTGTAGCATGAGCAGAGGTGTGTGTGAGTGTGTGCACATGCGTGCACATGTTGGAGGGTCGGGTAGGTATGGAAGTCTGGCCCTGGGCGGGTGTTCGGGCTAAAGGTATATGTTTACCTTATTCTTACAGTTCATTTCTGAATCGCTCTATCACCACCACCACTCTGCTAGTCACCCGGGGTCACAGAGTAATTCCTACTAGATCCATGTGTATTGTCAGTCACCTCAGCCTTCCAGTCCTCCCAGTCCTCCCAAAAGCTCCCTCGTTAACCCTTCATTTCTGGCCCCCTGCACCACAGACATCCAGCATCCTTTCTGAGCTGCAGCTTCCTACCTGCTCAGTGGTGACAATAACGGTGGAGGACTGTGAGTTTTCAATGAAATTTACGTTAAGCACCTTACTGTCCCCACATGGTGAGTACAGCACGTGAGCCAACCCCACCCATAAACCATAGCCCCCACCCATAACCCCTCATCCATAAACCATAACCCATGGGGGCTTCCATCTAGCATTAAGTGCTTTGACAGCACAGGTTATGGACATTCCATTGCTTTTTAACCAGTGCATTTAGTACATTATTCTTCTTTCTTGAGATTAAAAAGAGAGAAAGAGAGATCTTTCATACTACCATTAGTAAATAATCACGTTCACCACCTGACGTCTAGGCTGACATCCAACTGCTGAGCTGTTTGTGGGCCAGTCTCTTAGTGCCTATTATAAAACACAAGTCCCGTTTCACTTCTAGAGAAATGCCCAATGACAGCTTTAAGATGTCTCAACTTCAAAGAATGGATACAGTTAACCGAATGTGCCTCTAGGCAGGAGGCCAATACCAGGCAGAAGACAAGGACCAACTACATGAAGCCTGAAAAGAGCTGAGAGGTATCTAAGTTATACGTATGCTATCAGATCTGCGTGAAGGGGCTGGGAGACGTCCTTTTAACTACAACTGTAGCATATCCTATATATTCCTCAACAATACCTTAAAAAGAAAAAAACCAAGGTTTGGTAAACAGCAAACCTGACAACTACTGATGGTGATTACTGATACTTGCCCTCACGTCTCCTTCAAGTCTCAATACAGTCTTGAAGTAAGGGAACAACTTCAAAAAGTAAAAAGTAAACACTATTTGGTAGAAAGTGCTAGAGGAAGCAAAATACAGTCTTTCTGAAAAAATAAAACTTTGTTTTTTAAGCCTAAGAAAAGTGCTTCAGGAAGCAGAAGAAATAAAAGCTATTATGAACCAACCACTGAGGGTTACAAAAGGGTTACGATTTTTGTTTTATTAGTGGTTCCTTTAGACAGAACTGTAAATACCAGGTGAAATCTCAACAAACAAGAAAGTAGTTCAAAGAAGAGTGTACAAATTCCAAGCGCTGTTTAAAAACAGTAGCAGACAATTATGAAATCGAGCTCATATTCAAAACCAAACTTGCCCACGAGGCTTCTGCTTCTCTTAAGTCTGAGAACATTCCCCCGACTGCCAAGGAATCCTGAACGACTAGACCTGTCCAAGGAGCATTTGAAAGACAAGCTTGTGGACTCTTTCCATTTAGAACAGGAAAATATCTGCACATCAGGGGCTCCATCCAGCTAGTCCGGCTGGCCCCCTCCCGACCTCAGCGGTGGTGGCAGCTGTCACCTCCCTGCCTTGTGACCTCCAGGCCAGCCCAGGACCTGCTGCTCTGCTGCTGGCTCGAGGAGAAGGGCAAAAGCCGGTCCTCCCCGCGGGCTACCTGGTTGTCAGGCAGGAGCAGGGCTGGAGGGCCAACGTCGCCTCCTCCCTGCTCAGAGGAAGTGAGACAAGCCTGGTCCTCTGTACACCAGCGCCTTCTAATGGGCACCAAGATCGCCCCAAGATCAAGGTCGTTCCAAAGCGAGCCACCAACACTTTAAACACAGATAACCATCTCAGCAGCTAAGGCAAAATGTCAGGAACCTCACAGGTTGTTGAGTTTCACTCCCCATTTGTCACGTAACTGCAAGAGTGAGCATGATGATGGCACGTCTGATCTGCTCATTTCTTCACTGGAAACTGCAGTCTGCCTGAGCCCTGGCCACTGAGGCAGGCTAGGACCTACACCATCGGTCCTCACAGAGAGCTGGGCTGGGGGCCGCATCATGACCCTGGGCCACAGATGAAGACACAGGGCCAAGGACCCTCGGCCACCATGGGGAAGAGCCAGTCTGTGGACCTGGGCCCGGAGGCAAGGTCCATCCTCTGAACCTCCAGTCTGCGCGGCCTCTTTTCCTCACCGGGCACGGCAGGTATGCAGGCAGCATGCGGAGGTCTGGAAGGAAAGAGCTGTTTCTGCTTCAGAACAGTTGAGGCTATTGGGTAAAACACCCTGATGAAGTGACACTATTATGACAGACAGCAAAACGGGGGGTAGGTGAGCCAGCACACACAACCACACCAGGACCAAATGCCTCAGGAACTGGCCACTGGCGCCTTCCACCTCCATCACGAGGAAGGGCCTGGCCATCCCGTGCAACCTGTCTCTAAAGTAATTTTCTGTCATCAGCCCCCACTACCTAATTTTCACTAAGTTTTGTGGATTAATATTTCTAAGTAATCACTATTTAAGAATTTATGACTAAATACTAAACCCTAGCCAAATGGGAGACTCATTCTCAAGGACCTCCATTTCAATAACACACAATGTACAGAACAACGTAATGACATTTTTCCTTGAAAATACACAGCTGTTTATTTCAAGCATGTACTAGAACACCACCATGCACCACATCACTGTCTCCAGCATCACTTACTGAGAGATCATTCTGTGCTGTGCTTGGGAGCACAATACAGGTTCATAACTCCTTTTTCACAAAAAGCTAAAAAAGCTCTGAAATTCCAAATATTTTTTCAAGACTTGGTCACAAAAATTAATTGGCAGTAAAGACCTGACCTGAGGCTATTAATAGTCTTTATCGATCCCTTTAGTGTGAGTCCCTGTACATTTGGTTGCAGAAATCTCCATGCACTTGACCGTTGGGGGGGGGGCGGCTCTCAGATCCCCCTAGAGTATTACATATCACAGTGCATGTGCTCTGTTATCTTTCTCAACTTTGAGAAATTCTTAATTCCAAAACACATTTCTCCCCAAGAAAAGTAGAAAAAAGAAAGTAGATTTTTATTATTATCTCTATTGAGCAAGAAATGGAGGCTCAGAAAAGTTAAGTGCCCAAGAAAGAACACCTAGAAAAAAGATTCAAATGAAGAACTTCTCAACTCCAAACACATGCCTTTATCCACCATCACACCGTGTCACAGCACGGACTGTAGTATTGTATGGAGTTCCAGCACTAGGATTTACTGTTTATGAAAATGACACAAGTCCTCTGACATAAAACCACCAAGAGCACATTAAGCTGGTCTCTTTTTCCTGGGAACTCTGAAAGCAGAGAACATTCAGGGAAAACACACAGCCATCTGTCCATTTTAGCTACTATGTTCAAGAGACAAAGCACAGGGAATATTTCCAGTCATAATAATGAG